AATTTCAGACATAAACTGACGACTTTTATACGTCATGACTGACCGAACAGACGGAGCCCAGAAAACAACCTCTGTAGATGTCTAATGCTTGGTGGCAACATTTTTTGGGGCCTGCTAACCTTCATATCTGGTATGACTATGCAATACTATATATGATGTTATAAATGTGTGAATGTATTGTGAAAGAGAAGGTGTGCAAGCTGCCAGCTCTTGAGTGTGTTTAAGTAATGATGGAGAATATTTGCAAATGTGAAAGTAGAAGAAAGAAGAAGACCTTCTCAGGCAGAACCACACAACAGGAAGACCCCCTGTGTACTTGTTAGAGGTTTAACTCTGGTTTACATTTAGGCATGCAGAGGTGTGAGGAGTACAGCTTTGGTGTATCTTTACTGGACTGACTCACAAAGATCCTTTCCTATCAATAATGTACAAAACATTAAAGGTTTGAAAATGTGCAGAAAGACAGCGCTCATTTACTATGTTATTTGCTGCTCTCTTTGCTATGCTAGAAGATGGTATTATTAGCTACTACAATGCTAGCATGCTACTTAAGATGAAAGAAATGATCACACAGATAGCTGTGCTGCGTAGACCTCCACCAGAAATGAGTGAGGCAAGTTTTTTTTTATAGTTACCTCAAATGTCAAATGCTATTTTGACACCTTCCATCTGATTGGCCAAGTCAAAGTTTGGCTCACATTTCTAGGGTTTCGCTTCAACGTTTGCTTTAACCTCTTCAATGCTTGGGGCACCTGTAACAGATACAATGCGTGCAGTCCCATTTTTTTTAAGGTTGCCAATTCTGTCACATTGGTCACCTACAATACCAGTAAGGTAAGGTCTATTTTTAATACCGACACAACAACACATTGTAAAACTGTCATCAAGGTTCAAGTGGTCTACATAAGTTACACATCACAAAAACAAGTTAACAGCGTCAATATTATTAGCCCCCTGAAAAATGGATCTTTTTATTGAGCCATAGCACAAACCACTGTTGTGTAGTGATGTGCTTTAATTTTGTGATGCTCAAAACTTTTAAAAGTTAAAAGCAAGGGTTATCTTCCAATTTACACACAGTACAAAACTTCAGCACGGGTTTGAGCTGTCACTTGAGAAAGCATCATGTCAGAAACAAAACAAATCAGTTTAGACTTGAGAAAAAGAATAATTGATGCTTACAAAGCAGGAGATGGATATAAGAAAGTTATCTAAGTATTTCCAAGTGTCAAGAACTGGAGTGAAAATATCATCAAGAAATCAAACAGAGCCACGCTGTGGAGAACACACCTGGCAGAGGAAGGAACTGGAAGGTTTAATAGACCTAGAAAAGAAAACTAGTTGGAGATGTGCCTAAAAACCTCAGAACAACTGCCAAGACAGTATAAAAACAACCTAACCAAGTCAGTTGTCTCAAAGAAGCGAATCACTGGAACCCTACACAAGAATGGACTGTGAGGTTTCAGAACAAGGAAAGCCCCACTTTTACAGAAGAGACACCTTCAAGTCAGACTGAAGTATGCTAAAGACAACCTGGGGAATGATTATGCAATACTGGAATACACTTGAAGTCCGTCGTTTGATCAGATGACTTCAGAGCCACAGAGTGCTGCTTATGTTTGGAGAAAGAAGCCGGGCAACCCAAAGAATACCATCCCCACAGTGAAACACGGTGGTGGGAGTATTATGTTGTGGGGACGCTTCAGAGTTTCTGAAAAGGGAATCTCGTGGAAAGAAGGATATGTGAAGATTTCCAAAGGAAACATCAAGCAGTCCGCAGCAAAACTGGTTCAGGGTCATTACTTTGTCTTCCAACATGATGACCTAAAACATACATCGCTTTTCCAACACCAAAGAGAAAATTATTGATGGGCCTGCACAAAGTCCATGACTTGAATCATTAAAAATCTGCAGGATGAACTGAAGACTAAGGTCAATTCCAGAAGACCATCTTATCTGGAGGAGCTTGAGATATTCACCAAAGACGAATGGGCTGGGATTTTGAGACTTGTTAAAAACTACAACAAACAACTGCAGGACGTTATCCAGCTAAAAGGATGCACAACTGACTGTTAGCATCAGGGCAGCTAATAATTCTGACCCCGGTAGTTTCAGTTTATTTGTGACATTATTTTCCTTCTGTGTGAAAAAACCCCAGGATGTTTGGAACAGGTGTGTTAAAAATTACTTGTTCTGTTTAACAGGTCTTGGAAAATCCATGGGGAGGCTAATAATTATGTCCTCATCTGTACATACTAGGACTTAAAATTGTTTCATGATTTTCAAAAGGGCTGCCAAATGTTCATGACCAGTCCAGGGTGTACTTCACCACTCGCTGGCATAGACTTCAGTTCCCCTGTGACCCTGAATTGGATAAGCAGAAGAAAATGGAGGGATGGATGGGTGGGTGGGCTTTCAAAAGGAGTGAATAAACTCATTATGAAGCACTTTTGAGTCTCTGTATGCGAGTGTAAGCTTCTCATTCTCAGAGAACAAGTGTCCTTATATGACCCATGAGGCTTTTAACTGCAGCCATGGTCAGAACATCAATAATGGCCACTGGTCAAGTCAGATTTCCTCACATAACCTGACTGTAAAAGGGCAGCAGGTCATTGTAGCCTCACTCTGCATCGCAGCATCACGCCTTTAAATTTTTGTACAGAAAAAACAGAATAAAAAAAAAGGGGGGATGCCACAAGCACTGATCTGGGTACAAGACCACCAGATAATAGGCATTCTCTCCACTCTCACACACACACCCACAAGGACAAGCACACTGAGTGACAATTTAGCCACGGCTCATTTAACCTACAGGCTGTGACCCCGAAGTAAGGTTCCCTACTGGGAGTTTTCACCAGGCCAAATTCTTGCTGAAGGACGAGAGCACAGAGGAAAGTGACGACGCACACAGTCAACCACATACTTCGTAGGCGTTCTAGCGAAAGAGGTGCCCATGATGCTCAAAGTTTCATAAATAGGAGCTCATTCTGTTCACACTTATGTACACTTCGGCCTAGCTGTAAATAAATACACCCTCGTGCTCCCGCTACCCATAACCACAAATAATGCAAATTTCCTTCCCTTTCTGCAACGTGGCAGCGAGTGATGCTCAGCAGTCACCCACACAGTTTGCAAAAAATACCCCCGATGCACATCCCTGCTCATCGCGGTGCATTTTCTCACCGTGCGGACAGAATAAGTCACTCTGCCACTAGAACAATGTCAAACACAATGCAACTCTGCACTCTCTGTGTCTCACACACACTCACACAGCAGTGCCCCCTCCTCTTGTTGCCAGCAGGCTAGTGGGAGATGTTAGTCAAAGGGGGAGGGGGTGTTGTGAGGATATGCTGAGTGTGAGTGTGGTGGGGGTCTTTGTGAGCGACAGAGGTAGGAGGAGAAGGACAGAGGGAGGGGGACATAGCGTTCTATTTCTCATAGACCAGCAGCTGCTGTCTATAGTGGAGAGAGAGAGAGAGAGAGAGAGAGGAAGAGGGAGGGCTGTGTGGCGTGAGGCAGTGCGTGTGCTCAGTGTTTAGGTGAATCCACAACCCTCTGGCTCACGAGGATAAAGGATCCACACAGAAAACGAGAGAGAGAGAGGGAGAGAAAAGCAGCGCGGGGACTTTGTCTTCTTCTTCCTCTTCTGGCATCCTCTGCGCTCTTTCTCCTCGCTTCATTTTCCCGCAAGCCGACAGCGGCTGTTTTTGCTTCTTTTTTCCCTCCCATCCTTCCCTTTTGTTCTCTGCATCCATCTCCGTTTCACCTCGGTCCAGCAGAGGAGGCAGGAAGAGCATAGTCAGAGGCATCATCCTCCCTCCTGCACGCCGAGCCGGTAAGCTGAGCTCTTTTTTTTTTCCCCCTCTCCCTTCGTTTCACCTCTCACCAACGTTCTGTCCACTCAGCACAGGAAGGGGATCGGATAGTCCCACCCTTCACCTTAAAGAGAGGCTGGAGAAGGAGGATGGAGGAGGCATGTGGGTCAGGTTTTGGAGTGAGGCTGGTGGGTGACTTGGGTGGTTAGTTTTAGCAGGGTAGATGGACCGGATGGGAAAGACTAGCCTGGGTCAGAACCCCCCTGTGGAGTAAGGCGGGAGGAAGGGAGCATGTGGGGCTGGTCAACTGGGACTTGTCCTCTTTCACTGCAGTGCTTAGCCAGAGCGCCACAGTCACTGCCACAGTCATATACACATCTCTACACACACACACACACCATCAGGGATCTGCTCTGCATGTTGGAAACCATCAGGAGAGCTCATGTGTGCAAATTTCCTGTGAAGGTTGGTGGCTCGGTCATAGGACATATGTGACCTAGAACCATTGCAGCACATGCATTGTATATTACACTGATACTGTGGGAACAATGTGGATAAATTGCATGCCAGGCATGGCCTCTCGCACATTGAGATCCATTCACCGCACACGCGTTATATCATCTAATTGTCGACGCGTACAAAAGGCGCCTGGCTTTATGCAGCGAGATGAGGTGTTTGAGGTTCAAGCTCAGGCCGGTCATTTCTGCAAACAGACCTGCTAAAAACAATAGCCTCAGAATTGCAACGCTGATCAGAAGGGGTGGGTGCATGCGACTGGAGTGGATAACGGGGAGGAGGGAAGGAAAGGATGGATGGAGGAGGAAAAAACTGAATGGAAAGATGAATGAATGAGGGCTAAGGATGTTTGGACTTTTCAAATGTAGGAAAACAACTGGTGAATGAGAAAGGTGTGCATTTGGAGCAGAAAGAGTGAAGCTACCATGTGACTCTGCAGGTCTTCTTTTTGTGTGTGTGTGTGTGGGAGGGAGGGGTGATGTGTGGATGGACAGATGCATTTGAAGCAAGGTAGAAAGAGAAAGCATGTGTGTAAGAGTGGACTGAGATGAAAGGTGTGTAATTCCAAGTATGAGGCTGAATCCATGCCTGCTGCAGCCGCTAGGAATGTGGTTATGATTATGATAATGAATGACTCACTGTAATTTAAGTTTGCATGCATAAATTGGTTTGCATACCAATGTATGTATACCAATCATACAAATGACACACATGAATGCGTATGTGTGCGTGGCCAGTGTTCTATAATATATCTATATGTAGGACTTTATTATACTGTACAGGTGCATGCATACATATTTGAAAGTATGACATGTACAATATGTGATGTATTTATTAACAATTATTATATTTATCACTGTAGCACATGTAGTGACTGAGGTAAAACTGCATAAACAAATATATTTAACTAAAACATGTCTTTAACATTAGACAAAAACTACTCAATGCGAATCAGTTTATTTATATCTATATATAAAGCATACCAATGTGTTAATCAAATTGTGTGTGTGTGTGTGTGTGTGTGTTTGCGTGCATGCAGGATTTTTCAGTCTGAGGTGGAATGGTGGCTGCTATGGTATTTACTCCGCTGTTGCTAGGACACTCCCTTTGAACATTTTAACGGAGCCTTTTCATTGGCTCGCCACGATGATGCAAGAATCCCTCACCCCAAATCTTTCCTGAGCGCCCATAGAAACATGCCCGTCTGCATTTCCCCCTGCTCTCCTCTCGCTCCTTCTCTGTCACTCTTTTGTCT